CCCATGTTCTGAGCAAGCTGCAGTGCTTGAGCAAAAATTACATGCACCTTATTGTGTATAGAGAGTATGATTTACATCCATTGTTATTTGACCCAAACAATCTAGCAGGACATTCAATATTTCCCATGCAACCTTCTGTTCTGAATCTTAATGATATGCTGTGGATTTATCTTCTATAACCTTTGCTAGTTTTAACATAACATTTCTGTTGGGAAAAAACCCCGAAGAGCTGGGACAGGATGAAAATAATGTAATTAAATGAGTAACGTATATATTAATTCTTTAAGACATTAAAGATGTTACTGAACCCTGTTTTTTCTGTACCATAAAAAGCAGCATCTCAAAATGATTTAAAATATATATAAACTGTAAAATAATCAAACACACTGATAAGCTAAGAAGAATGAAAAAAAAAATCAACACAAAACACCTCCTCCTCTGTGTTGCAGTTGTCACGTCCATCCCATAAACTGTTGCATTATACTGGGATTCCCCCTCTGAAATCAGGGAGGGGGCTCCGATCTCAGATAAGGACACGTGACATTGGATTGCTATTCCCGGCTCCTGCTGATATTTCAGCTGTTGTGCCCTCTCTGCTGGAACTCTACCGAATGCCTTGAGGAATACAACATGGGAAGTTTGGAAGAAATGTTAGATCTGTACCTCCTCACCCTGCTATTTTGCAATCCATCTGAAAGTTGAGATCACCCTTAGTATTAGTCTAAATTGATTCCCTCCCACTGCTTTCAAAAAAAGACTTCTTTTCTTGTTCCTTCCTATCTTGACTTTTGCCCAGGCCTGGTGTCACTAGCAGAGATTTTTGAGATTAGAGCTTTCTAAATTAATGTGCCAGGATTGCTTTGTAAGCAGTCTGAGTGTTAAAGGAGAAATGCTTATACTTGGCAGTAGAAAACAACTGAAGGAAAATATGTCTTAATTTCTTTGGGGAGAAGTTCTATATATAAGGTCTTGCCAGTGAGAAAGCATTCTTGCATGCTTACACTAACCATGACTCTGACGGCAATAGCACATACCAGTGGGAAACAACACCTGATCTTAAGGACAGATGGATTCACATGGGAGAACAGTATTCTAGCAAGCAAGTCTGAATCCACTTAGATTTTAAAGATGGACAGATTGCTTCCTCATGACCATAGAAACTGGAGCTACCAGCCTCTGTAGGAATGATGGGCCAATTTAAGATGGCCTGTCCTAGGTACCTGATAGATCCAGAGAGTTTCCAGTGTATGCCTGGGGCATTTCCCAGTGTTCTGGAGGGCAGTTTTGTAGGGTATCTGCTTAACCTCTGGATGACAGAAGCAACTTAGCTGCTAGATAGGATTGCCCCTATCTTCTTGTCTACCAATCCAAGGGGACACCTTCATTCTCTGAGATGCAACTGGGGAGGAACAAAGAGTTGGATCTGGGCTGTAGTCAACTCCTCCTTGGGGGAGATGGAGGTTCAAGCACTTTTGAAAGAGGTACTGGTCTGCTCCCTCATCAAGAGGCCTGCCTTGGATCCAATAGTATGGACAACTCTCATCCTATATCCAACCTTCCTTTTTCAGGGAAGGTCCTGAGAAAAGGTGAGGTGAGAATTACAAAGGACTCTGGAAGAAATGGATTCTCTGAACCTATGGTAGTCAGGATTCAAGCCTGGGTAGGGTATAGAAACCCCCTCATCCTTCTGGACCTCTTGACAGCTTTCAGCACTGTTGGTCACAGTATCCTTCTGGACTGCCTCTGAGGGTTTAGAGTGGGTGAGATAATGTTATGGCGGTTCCACTCCTTCCTGAATGATGAGTCCAACTGGTGTCTGTGGGAGGGAAAGGCCAAGCCTGTGACTGCTCCAATATGGGGCATCCCAGGGCTCGATTTCCTCCCCCATCCCCAACATCTACATAATGTTGCTGGGGAAGGCCATATATCAATATGGACTGAGGTATCATTAATATACTGATGAATTAATATATTTCCATCCTGGGTGGAATGGGAGATGTTGTAGAAGTCCTGATTTGGTGCCTAGACAGTGTCAGGGCCCAGATAGGGAGAAACAGGCTCAAACTCAACCCAAGCAAAATCAAGTGACTTAATACAGAGGCCTATCGCTTCTGAGGTGGCACAATTTTGGCTCTTGATGGGGTTGTATTCTCCCTGAAAGAGCAGGCCGAAAATCTGGGGGTCTTCCTGGACTTAGTTCCTGCTGGAAGAGCAGGTAGAAACTGTGGCCAGGAAGGCCTTTGCCTGGTTCAGCTATTGTGCTAGTTGAAGAGGATGCACTGAGGATGGTCAATGGTCAATCCTTTTCATCTCTCACTTGGATTACTGTAATTCACTCTATATGGAACTCCCTTGGAAGCCCACCTAGAAATTTCAACTGGTACAAAATGCAGCTACCTTTATGCTTATTGGGCAATCCAGCTATGGGAGCTGTACTGACTACTGGTTCACTTCTGAAGGCAATTCAAGGTGCAGAGTCCTATATGGCTTTGGCCTGGTATTATGAAACCATCTATCCCAGGTCAATTCTGCCTGTCCAATACAGGTGAGCTGAAGGTCCTTTGCTGTCAAGAAGTACAATGGGAGCAGCTGGGAGGGGCTCCTACTCCCATAGCCTTCCATAAACTGGCTTTTCCACAGGACCTTTTGAAATTGAGCAGCTTGATTGGAGTTGAAGCCAAATATAACGCTGTTGTGTAATTTGGTTTTATCCACTGGACTTCTGTTGCACTTCATTTTGTTATTCTTATTTTGCATACTGCTTGGTATGAAGCAAGTTTATAAGCCTGTAATAAAGAAATGAGCAAGATCTTGAAGGGCTATTACAACATCAGCTGGCAGATAGGACAACTGATTTATTGATTGGAGCTTCTGCAAGGGGTTATAGGTGCAACCTTTCTTAAGATAGGGTTGGCTCAACCCTTCCCTTGAATTGACTCAATCACCATCATCCCTTCAAGTTAGGCTAGGTCAACAAACACTCCATAAGAAAAACTGCAACTCTGCTTTATTGATGTAGGCTGTATTAAGAGAATCTTGAAAGTCTGACAGAGTTTTCCCTCCCTCCCTCCTTCCCTCCCTCCCTCCCTCTCTCTCTCTCATACCAAAAAAAGTCAAGGAAGAGTCACTTTCAGTTTCTTTCTAACATTCTCCTTTCTTGGCCTTCCAGCATGTTGTGTAAACTGCCACATGCCTTCTCCAAGGTCATCTCTGTGATTTCTACAATGCAGAGTGACTTAGGCTTTGTTGGCAACAATATGGAACTGGTTTACCACTGCCTTCTTCCAAGATTTTTGTTTAATTTGATTTTTTGATCTAGCATAGAGCCCTTGGATTTGCTAGTAATCTTCCAGCCAAGTCTTAACTTTTAAGACTTGAATGGAATCTTAAATTTTTAATTTTTTTCAAGATTAGTCAAGATTTTTTTTAGATTTTATATTTACTCTTATTTTAATGCTTTTATTTTAACATTTCTTTTATTATTTGGAAGAAGGTCATTGCAAAATGTCTCCCTTCCCAAGAATGCATGTTTTTCTTCACTAGTAGCCTATTTAAGTACTATGGCCTATTTAAGGAGCACTCACGCTTGATGGGGTGGGGGGGGAGAGGAACCCTGAAGATTTTTGTTTCATCAGTAGGGGGAGCTATGGCAATGAGACTTTTTGTACAGAGCCTAGCTCAATGTTTCTCAGCCTTGGCAGCTTGAAGATGTGTGGACTTCAACTCAAGTCCACACATCTGCCAAGGTTGAGAAATGCTGGCCTAGCTTCTTCTGCTTGAACAGGTGACAGCACCTAGTTGGCCCTGGCTGATCTCAAAAAGCTAAGCAAGGCCAGACCAAGTTAGTACTTGGACAGAAATCTATAAGCTATAGGATAGGCTGGACCTGGTGGTGGCCTCATCAGGAGTCCAAGGAGTCTTTATTTATATATTTAATTTATCTAACTCCCTCCCTCAACTAACAATAACAGCAGGTTATCTTTTTCCTCCCCCCACCTTTTTTTTAAATAGAGGAAAGAAACCAGAAAAGCAAATCCCTGCTATTTCTATTAGTTTGAGAAGGAGAAAGAAAAGAAGGGCTGCAGGACTGGGGAGCAGAAGATGGAGATGACAGGCTGGGAAGGTTTGAATGAGAGTTGGAGGAAGCAACGTAGCTTGGGGAGGCAGCATGGGAGGCTGGAGCAGAAGCAGGAAGAAGCAGTGCAGAGGCTGGAAGAGAGCCAGCGAGGAAGGAGGAAGAAGGCAGACAGCAGAGGGATGGGCAGATGGAAAGGAAATTGTGCAGGAAACACAATTCAGGACAAGCAAGAGTGTGGGGAAAAATGGGGGATGCTGGGAAACTGGGAGGGTATTCGTCACTTTTGCACAGCATATCATACTTGCAGGACAGTGCTTCTCTTGAATTAGCATTCAATAATCCATCAGCAGTTACAAATATAACAGAAATACACAATCTGTTGTGCTTCAGCGTGCACTATGCCATTCCAGGTTCCTTCCCTGGCTCAGTTTTCCAGTTCATCACCTAAAAGGTACTAAGCATGTCATGACAACAAAGTAGGCTCAGTTCTGACATCTCTATTTTGGTTTCTTCTGGTCTCTTTATTGTTGGGATTAAGAAAAAAAAAATTCAGCCAACCTTCAGATTCTCTTGAAACTGCTAATATCTCCTTCTCACCTCTTGTCAACAAAGGTCACCATTCAGAACATTATCTACTGCTCCACTATATTCCATTCCCACTAGCAGTCACATCGATTTCACACACACACAGTCAGTCTGCATTCCCTGGCTGCTGAGCAACCCACAGGCATTTGTACTGATTTTTTATTTCCTTTATATTGGCTGTGTTTCTGCAAGCATTGGTCCCAATGCTTGCCTGCTCAAAAGGGCCCATGCTCTTTTGCCTATATATGTCACAACACCCATAATGAAACATCAGAAACAAAGGAGAACGATGGGAAAGACTAGCTGTCCCTTTTAACCTACTGCGTATGCAACATACTTTTCATATATTCTCTGTCCTCTCATGAAAGCCTTCACTTCGTTGTCAAGTGGGAATGTTCCATCATCTTTCCTAAAGCGGTAGAAAAGTTTGAGATCCTTGAATTCCTTATGCTCATCACAAACTGAAACATAAAACACAGGAAATCAGGATGAAACACTCTAGAAGTTTTTAATTAGGTTTTGTGGTTTCATGTTAGATTTCCAAACCATGGAACTCACCTCCCCAGCGTATCCTCAGCTCTTTCAGGAGCCCTAACTAGCATTTCTGGATAAGAGCTTGGGAACGCTGATTCTTTTCACTCACCATGGTGGATAATACTACGATCCAGTAACTTCTGCACAAGTTTAATTGCTGTCTCCCTGTCAGAGGCCTCCTTGTGATCAATCAGCCAGTCAATCAATTCTTTGGCAACAAAACAATTTGGGTAAGTCTTCAGGTGATGTCTTCGGTCTTTAATAATTTTTTCTTCATGCAGCCTGAGCCTGTGAAACAAATGATATCACACTGAAAAATCAACTTTCTATGGAATTTATCTTTACCCTGCAAGCTGAAAAGGATGACTATTTCCTTGTATTCTTGGACTTGCAAGCAGAGACTGTCAAATATGTCAATTTCTCACTTTTTCCCCATCATATGTTCATTCTTCAGGGGATACAAATGGCCAGAAAAGAACTTTCTGCTACTGAAGTTAATATCATTCAACATATGAAGGACATCAAGATGAAGCAGGGTGAACCTATTCACAAAATGGCTACTGTAATGGCCATGACAAGTCTTAAAATATGTATTTCCCACAAAGCAAAACAGTAAGTTGTGCCACACTACACATTCTAGCCCTACAATATCCCCACCATGAAGATAAAGCTTACCTTTACTTTCTTCTCTGAGGGAATCAGAGCTGTTTTGGTGTAATGGTTAAGGTGCTAGACTAAAAACTGGGAGATAGTGAGTTCTAGTCTTCCCCTGAACACGAAAGCTGGCTGGGTGACTTTGAGCCAGCTACTTTCTCTTAGCCCAATCCACCTCACAAAGTTGTTGTTTGGAGGGAAATAAAAAGAGGGAATGATATGTATATTGCCCTGAAGGTAGGATATAAATCTAACAAATAAATAAAATCTGCAAAGAAAGCACTGGGCAATAGCCATCTACCTTTTTAGATTTTTTAAGTGTACTAATGCTTTTTTAGAGCCAATCTAGTATAGTGGTTAAGGCATCAGGCTAGAAACCAGGAGACTAAGTTGGTATGAAGCCAGCTGGGTGACCTTGGGCCAGTCACTCTCTCTCAGCCCTAGGAAGGAGACAATGGCAAGCCACTTCCAAAATCTTGCCAAGAAAACCATAGGGACTTGTCCAGGCAATTGCCAGGAGTCAACACTGACTCAAAGGCAGACATAGACATAACACACACACACAACACACACACAATGCTTTTGGAAAGAGGAAAGCTTTGCAGTATGCCAG